AGGGTCACCAATTCGCCTTCTCGTGCCATGGTTGCATCTTCTCATCGACTGCCAGGATATCCGCTGATATAATATAGATGATAGTAGGACGGGGAGGGAGCCCCGAAAGATTGGCATGATGTGTGCCATCTCTGGGTTTGCCAGGACTATGGCGTCAATCAAACTTTCCAACTTGCTGTGACTGCACGTTCTTCGAGCCATTCTTCTACTTCATAAGAGAGATGATTCTGTGTGCGTTTACCATATACGCGCCACGCTCATATCTAATATTCAGTAGCAGGAACGGCAGGTGCTTCAACAGTCCTCCGTGAAGATCGCTGTCATCACCTTCCACAAAACAGACGATTCTTGGGGGTGGCCATGGTGATAGTTCTGCAACCCACACTCAGAGCCAGCACTCTGTTCAGTTTTAAGATCTGAGTGATCTGTGGCTCAGCAGTAGAAGCCAGATTCTACCAACGGTTGCCGACACGCTGAACGCCAGATTTTCCTTGGAAACTATACGGATGTGTTTTACATCTCCGGGGAAGGTACGAGGCGTGATATCTGCGCTGATACTGGAGGGAAACTGCAGTCCGCTGAACCTGCTGGTGCTATATCAGGCCAGGGATGAGACATGTTTGTGGGTGCTATATATAAAAGGATTAAGTCTGGGAGAAAGAGTGATATCGGGGCGTGTTCCATTGATCGCTAGGATACGCTCAACCTCGCAGGTGGGGAGAAACCATTAATTCTGCTTCCATGACACATGCAGTCTCGCGTGAATAGGAGACCTTTGAATGCTGCACATCGGTTCGGAAATCGATCGCGGCTCGAAGTTCAATCTGGTTCGTGGAAGTACATCATCTCACCCTCCTCCTTTTCGCCATGAAGACTACCTTTGATGCAAGTCAGAGGGTATAATGGCGGAAGATGGGGTGTGAGTATCAGGTGAGATGATCTCGGACGAATTGTCGACCTCAGTACTGGGTGAAGTAGCCATGAGGAAAGCTGGTGTAATGGCGGACGATGGTATGTTGTTACGGGTTGATAGCCTTTTGTAAGACGGTCCAGGTTTGGCGAATGAGCGTGCGAGTGTCTTTGTCTCTACACAAATGGTTCTTTCCGGGGAAGCAAACTGGCGATACCGGTAGCCATAAACCGGCGGATGCACATGGTGCATGACCACGCGAGAGCCCCAGGCAGATCGAGGTCGGAGGCTTCGGAATACCCTTCCTCCCTGTATCCGGCCAGCCCGCGGGTGCGCTCAGTTCGGCCTTCTGCCTCTATGCGCTGGATGGTATTATATACTTCTTCCAACGCTCAGGCTCATCATCGTCAACGTCAGAGTCTTCGATCGTGGTGAAGGCAAACAGGAGTGTTGCACGATATATACTATAATTGTTGCATGGGCTCTTTGCCCTTGGGTGAAACATTAGACCTGTGACGCTCGACCTTGTCTATGCGTCCCATGCGTCTGGACTTGGCTTTGATCAGGGGGTCGCCATTTCAAAGCGACGGGTGTTCCAGTGACCTGGAAGCGACTGAGACCTGTGTATCAGCATCGGCGGCGTGAGCGAAGTTGAAGCATAGTGAGTATATGCAACCTGTCGTTTGAGAGACTCCGGTAACATTAAATTCGCTCGGAGATCTCGGTTGGTTCATTCTGCCAAGCTCCTCGTCCACCTTCTTCGCTTCATGGTTGGCGTGTTGATAAGAAAGATAAAGCCACCTAGTTTATGCTCGAATGAACGGAATGGAGAAGGGATCTTAATTCCCTGCCAAGGACCTGTTGGGATATGCTTGGCATATGGCGGACTATATGATCGCCGACGTCCCCAGCGTCAGCCACCGACTGTGAACGACTAGTTGTTCAAGAATGGCTTGGAGTCTGTGCTGAGTTCTTTCCACATCTAGGTCACTATCGGAAACGGGCCAGAGTGACAGCTGACTTCAAAGGTAACTGTCACCAGAAGTTGAACAGCATTACTGCCGGCATGAGCTCCCACCACAAGCACTAACATTTGCCGTCATCCCCTTCATTGAGATATCCTTCTTCATGCGGATACTCCGAACGTCATCGCACTGAGCAAGGCGATTGAAGAGAGCTCGACTCTCTTCCTGATTTGTCTTGATCGGCACAGTCGTATATGTAGACGACTGAGTGTCGGAAGCGTGTAAGATGAGATGTTTGTGCCAGTTCGGGCTTTGATAGAGGCGACCGTGAAAAGGGCTTTCGTTGAATCATGTCTGTCCTGTGCGCAACAGTCACACTTTTGCACATCCTCCTGTTCAAGCCCTTGTCGATAGATACTAATATTGGAAGGGAGTGAGTAGTACTGAATTGAATAGGACCAGTGCCGAATTCGAAAGATGTGCCTGGCTTTGGTTTATAGCAACCCATATACGTAGGTCGTCACAGCACGAGTGATATATGGTATAGTTTGGTCGAAGCCCGAGACGATAATGTTTGTTATAGCGGGAACATATCTAATACTAAAGAATGTTAGCTAAGTATACTAGGATAGGGATAGATAACGTACTAATGTAATTAAGGTAGCTTGTATAGTTAGCTACGGTTTTAAATCTATTGTAAGCTGCTAGGACCCGGCCTAATCTGAGGTCCTTCTTGAAAATGTAAGGCAGTCGGACTTGGTCAGGGTATCCCGTAGCCTTCCATATTATCTCCTGCCTAGTTTAAGAGTGGAGAGTTTCCGGGAGGGTCAAGGGAATAACATAAATAATTAGCTTTGAGATGCTATCCTTGTACCAATTTATTCAACAGCCCAAGCTCATTTAGGCGCAGGCGAGACTCGCAGTTGAATATTGGACACTCTCCTTTGTCCTTTTGATCCTTTGTTGGTTCGTTTATTTTCGGAGTAGGAGGAGAGTTGGCGTCAGGCGCATTGTCGTAATAGGCACTAAAGGTTGAATTGACGCCCGGGAAGAGAAAGGCAACTCATATTCATTGTGCATGAATACGTATGTGCTGGAATGTCGAAGATTCCCTCACAGGTCAAAGACCTGAGCCATGGAGTTGTATAGAAGGTTGGTGTGCTGGAGGAGGCGAATAGTAGTCGCTCAGGCCGAGAGCAACGTCGAATCACTGACCATACGATATAGTATACTCAGAAGGCAAATCAATGGCGATATTGAAGAAGCCCGGGTTGGGCTCACCCTTCGGTAGTTGTCTCTGCATCCAGCATGCGACGGGGCAGTGGCTGCATTGCGACTTTTGGATTACCAACTTTCTGTTGTATCTCATGGAAGTACTCGTCCAAATCTGTTGTAGATAAAGTTTGATGTCGACATCATCTTGGTTATTGCCATCGGTGCTAGGTATACCACTTCTATAATATTGCAATCTGTATTTCTCCTCGCCTCCAACACCCACTGTCGCGACCACGGTGGGGGCATTGATGTTTCAGTACGTAGCTCAGCTTGCAAGCGCAGCATTCTCGTCAAGGTGTCCATATATAATGAAAGAAATCGGAGCGAGATATTCTCTATCGCGAAGTCGCATTCATCTTGTTGTTCTTGGTGTTGGGTCAGGAAGAGAGCAATAAGGCTTGAGCATCGGCTGGAAAGGGCGAGACTGAGATACAGGCATCATTGCAGAGCTCCTCCCCCACCACCGGAACCATCGTAAAGAACTTAGCCTAGGTCGCTTCTGCGTGTGAGAACTTTGTCGACGCCCGCCAGCTTCATCTGAAATGAATACTCGCCGAATTCGTACAATGGCGACAAACCAGGTAGAGCCTTCGCCATCCGCGTCAACGAGTTGAACACAGGAGCCCTCAAAATATCGGAACATGCATTACCATTTCAAAGGGTCGGAATGCCATGGTATTGATCATCTTCGTGAAATTGGGTAACTGCTCCGGTCCAAGCCTTAGTCACCTCCCTCGACGAGAGTGAAGATTGGATATCTCATCTTGTGCATTCACACGAAGACAAGTTCAATCTCTTTAGCAGACGACATGTAGACTTCCGGTAGCGCTTACTTGTCCAGCCTTCTGATGGTATAATCGGCAATACAGGAGGGAAACACGGTTGAAGTCATGGACATGGCTTCCGGCCGGTAACACAATCAGGAATGCCGTGGTCGTTGGCAGAGTTGAACAGCTTTCGGCGGAGGATGCTAGACGTCAATGAATTTGTCCGGCCGTGTTACGGAAAAGAGCGCGGAGTAGCCTGGTTGATCCTTCGGCAACCAAAATGGTGTTTATAATATACGCGGTGCGACAGGTCGTTGTAAAAAGAAATGGCAGTATAACATGGTTCGCATCGGTCTTCCACTCAGCACTGTCGTTGACATGTGCTCGCTGCACTACTTCAATGACAGTGCACCAAGAATACAGAATCCGACCTTGTCAGCCTATCCTCTGTGGTCGACTACTTGATGTTGAGATGTATGTTGTGATGTATTGGTATCGCAGGGTCATAGAAGGTGCGCTGTCCGGGCTTTATACCAACTCTATGATGCTCCTGAACAGTTCGCTGTCCGCAGGTTATACAAGGAATGATTTGAAGTAAGTCCAGAGTGACTCTCATTCAAAATTTGTTGAATGCCATCGACTTGGGCTTGAGACCAGTCTTTTGTACACGTGCCAGCGTTTATATGTCAACTCTGTTCCCGGTTCATACACTGGTAGCACAGGAACATTGCAAAGTTTTGCGCATGGTGTATCCTCCAGCCAAAACAACCTTAGTTGCACATCTGGATCGTTCTGCGATGTACGATTCTTTCGTTGGCTTTGGTGGTTTGGTATATATAAGATGTTTGAGACAAAGTCCAGATAGATAAAAAAAGTAGAGCCCCATGCCACAGTTCGGAAGATGTTGACTTGGGTATTCTATGAGGAAGACGTTGTCGAGCTGGAGAGGAAACTTGCGAAGAGTATCTATAATGCGATCAAATTGTCTCCATAGAAGATGTGGCCCTATGGCGTGAGTACAGCGGTACAACCTTCGATCTGTTGCTCGCGATGGCTAGATTGAGAAAACAGCTAGGAAAAGCATTAAGAATGTCGAAAATAGTCGGCTACACCGACCTCTTCTCTCAGCTGGTAAAATATGAGATCATCTCCGTCAAAAGTGTGACCGGAGACAGTCACTTCGACGAAAATCTCAGAAGCGGTAGCTTCAATCAAGTCGAAGTCCAAGTCTGAGTCCTTGGTCTTCTGCATCTAGAAGAGATTCATGGCGGTAGGTGCCCTTGGTCACCGCAATTGACCGTAGCCATTTCTCGAACGACGTCGTTCTCAACTGAGCGGGTAGACCAGTAAGTGCCCTTCAGCATGGTGTATAGTATAGAGGTTCAGCAGTGAAACTTGCAACAATGGATCCAACCAGAGCCAGGCGGAGCATGCATGCGATAGCGAGCCTTCTCGACAGCCACACATGTATTCATTGTCTCGCAATTCAGCTCTTGCCACTGTCTTCCGTCGTCATGGGCATGATAATTTGAGGGCTTGGCGGGACGTATCGTCCGGGCAACCATCAGAAGCGCCTTTGCTACATCTCAGTTGCAGCACACACATGCTGGCCGGGTTTGTTCTCAGTGGCTCCTGAACTGACAGCATTCGAGTATGTGCTGTCAAGGAGAAAAGTTGCGATGCCGATATATTGTGATTTGCGGTGGGGATCTCTTTCCCAGTTTAGGTGCAGAACTATCGCGGGCCAGTCTTGCCTCGACAAGGAGCAGCAGCGAGTGGAGTGGTAGCTGCGGTAGAAACTCTGTTCTAGCAAACTACCCTCCGGCAACCGTGTTGATCGTCCGCCATATGGATCATACGGTCTGTATATATATATATGAAGTACGCCACCCAACAGCAACACCGTAATGGGGCCGAAGTAAGAGGCTGGCAGGGTGCGTCACCGAGGTTGACAGTAAGAGGTCGCATGCCTAGTTCTGTCCTCGGTATCGGCACCCGACAGCCACAGACGGTTGTGCATTGACCATTGCAGCTTGATTCCGCCTTGTCGGGACACTTGGGAAGCGTTGGGCTGCTGCTCTTCGATTTGAACTGGCTAGTAATACAGCGAATGTTTTGGGGTTACGACACTCAAATATTATCAGAGCGCGAGGTCGCACTGCCCATTGAGGCGTGTAGTGGGCTCTCCAGCCGCAATGCTGGCTAGGTATCGGCGGAAGAAGTCTATACGTATATCAAGCTTGTGTAGCTATGTGCCAGCGATCATGCGTTGAGGGCGTAAGAAGGTAAGATGATTCCTCCACCTCAATCCTCTAACAAATGTAGAATTCAGCGCCATTCGTGGTCGTCCATATTCCAAAGCCTACTGTAAGCGTTCGGTGTAGGTCTCGGGTGTTTACGTGCCAAGCCTCAATGTAAGGTCGTTGATAGGACTATCTTCGAAACGATGTTTTCCATCCATCGTGATGAGATCGCGGCACTTCTTGTTGGCTGCCGCGTCTTTTATAAGAGCATCGGAGAGACGGCCGAGGCGTCCACCTTCGCCGGCTGTGAGGTCTTCCCAGTGCTTGACGCTGTACAAGAAGATGTCGGCTCCGGGGAATTCCATATGGGCCGATTCCTTTTCCAGCGTTGTCTCCAGCCGCCATCGTGGGATGGCCATGACTGCCGCGATGTTAGGGTTGCCACGAGGCTAAGCGAGGAGAACGGAAAGTATTTATAGTGGTTAACACTCCAGGACCGGACCGGAATCCATTGCTTGGGAGTGTCGATGAAAAACCCTTCCTTCCTCAACATGGACTTGAGGTGTACCAGAATCCGAGGCGCTCAAGTGGTTCACCAGTTCTAGACGACTGACTTGCAGCACAAACTCTCCCATAGCACCGGATATGGGTTTGTGCTATCATCTTGTCGTCCCAAACACGTATATCTAAAGAAATGAGTATTCCGGGAGATAAGAACATATATACTAATCCCGTGGTCATTTTTGACCACATCGTTCCATATACTATACACTCCAGTTGGCGTACAGTAGCGGGCAAGATCTATCGACGAAGACCTTCAGCCTTTGCAACCAGGTATTGGGGCAATATGTCGAAGGTCGCCTTGCTCACGACCACAGCCAGGTATTTTGCTGCCGCCCTGGCCTCAGAGCCAGCTGGATCAAAGACCTCGCTGTTCCGATTGCAAGGTGAGAAGATACGTGTTATTGAATGCGAGGTGGACCTGGGAAATGTTGGTGGAAGACTACACCGGTACCGAGATATATAGTATAGTCTTGGCTAACTCGTCCTTGGGTCGCTGGTCCTCTTGTTCGTCTTCCTTTTGTCGATCTTCCGCGCGCCAGTGTTTAAGAACTGCCCCCGCATGTAGAAGAGCTGGTATGGCATGTACGCTCGCTCTCTGTTTGGAGGATCACCCGGGAAGGCTTTCATACACCATGCAGATATACTCTGCCGGAAGGCTCTCGCTACAGAATGCACGATTCGGTGTCTGGTCTTTTGCCCCAACAAGGGATGTACACTGGCTCGAGTCGGCGTGCCAAATCTAGTTCCTTCGCTTTGAGACATCGCGAATTGGGGATCTGCGAATAATTTGGTAGATGTCTTGGAAGACACACACAGCCGCAACACGTTGTACTGTTGTCCGCGATAGGTGCCTATATCGCTATCGCGTTGGTTATGGCAGCTAGATCCCCAAAACTCGAGTTTGACATAACGTTGATTGAAGGATTAACATCTTGCCGTTGTTCGAGCGCCAGGCTGAATGCCGGTCTCCATGTGCGGTGAAGCGAGTTTGATTTCTCAGTCCTTGCTAAGCAGCATCTGAGAAAGCTCCTATATTTAGATAGCCTCCGTGGCCACGTATGCTAGTGATAGTTCCAAGACACTTTGTCGCATCTCGACAGCAGCGAGGAAGGTTTTCGTCTTCCCTGTGCCCATTTCGTTGGCCAGTCTATCATGGAGTACTGGACATCAATGATATGATCATTCCAGGTGAAGAGTACTCCTTTTGGGAGAGGCACGCAGCCAACATTCATGACACCCAGCTTGTTGTTGATAGCTTCACTCCGCTTGCCGTGGCGAAGGTTATCTTGTTCGCAAGGGGTGAACACCAAGAATTTCTGTTCTTCCCCCTCTACGAAGACTCGCTCGTGTCATAGAGTCAGAGCGTTATATCCATTGGAAGTCCGCGAAGCAATGTCCGGGTCGTAGCGAACCGGAAATACAATTGGAAGCCAACCACGCCTGTAAATGTCTGATTTCTCGCGGTAAGAATAATATATAGTTTCGGAACAGGCCGCACAATGGATGGGCTCTTTCTTCTTAGAAGAACGCAACGAATGGCGACAGCGCGCATGGCAGTTTCCTAGTGGACCTCTGATGAGCCGATCAAAGAGGTGCTGGTTCAAAAGGCTTCAGGAGTGCGGCTCCATTATGGTCGGAAGTACGTGCTGCCTGAGGCGTAGTACATATATAAATCGAACGAGAGTTGAAATGTCACCTAACAGCGATCTTTGCCTCCCGTGATGAAGGTTTTCCCGTTGCTGTATAATAGTAGACTAGATTGCGTCCTTGTTCGGCAACAACTGCCTCTTTGATGAACTCAATTTCCTTTTTTACTGAGGCGATCTGCTCTCTTATTCGTTGTGTCTGTATGTCGTTAGTATCGTAAGTATTGTATGATGATCAAGGAAATGAACATACAGGGGACCAAACGGTTAAGGTAAAGATAAACCCCGTTGATATAGCCTCAAGTTATTTATCGTAGTTTGTGCTCATTTGGAGTCAGTGGAGCTCCGTTCAAGCTGATCAGATTACCCATGTCCTTCTCCAATCCTTGGAGCCTCATATGTGACCGGTACTGGTCATGAGCCACTGATCCCCATAGCCATCCTATGGCTTCGGTCCGGGGTATACTCGGCGTCAAATCCACCGATGGGCTGTCTGGCGTCTCGAAATGAACTGATGTCCTTCAGTCACCGTCTGTTCGAACAAAGAGCGCATCAAATATATATAGCCCTGCCACCAACGACAAGAGTGGCCGTGTTTGCACTGCAAATGTAAATATGGATGTAGAACTCCAAGAGGGGAATGGTAAACCCAGTCTCCCTTTTTCAATACGATCGGTTCGAGTCTGTCGAAGTCTTTTGGTTCGCTTTGCATGTATACGAAGTGAATCGAAGCAAATAGTCGTTGCAGACGGATTCTCGAAGAACCGGGAGATCGTCGGCCATCTCGTCACGCGTCATCGGACCAAAATGGTTGTCTGCCTCCATGCCATGCAGTTCGAGCAGCACGGGATGATAAGCAAAGTGCCCGGTTCCGATAAAGGGAGCTAAGGCATGCTCCAAGTCCTTGGGCTCACTTTCCCGCATGTACTGGACGAATTTGTCGTGGAGTTTGGCGTCATTTGTCTTGTTTCCAATTGGCGTGGCAACGTCCCGTACTTTGCGCTGTCTGAAGTCGTAGACGTACTCATGTGCCGACACTTCGCCAGTAACATCTGCAGAAAGCACAGTGCCGCTGCTGTCTGGATACATATACTATATGGAGCGAAGTTTAGTCGTCCGGCCTAGGCTGGCTTGCAAGGTGTTTATGACAGTGCTTTGGGCTGTCAATCAAACCGTCCGTATCGGCCATCAAGCACTTGATAGGCCAGCGAGATGGATCCAGGGTATTGTACCTGAGGCTCAGCAGGAGGAAGGTGAGAGGCGTGTGGTGCCGCTGTCAGCAGAAGCTGTTCTTGGGCGTCAGGTTCACCAGCCATGTCGACGTCCATGTCCTCGTCAAGTCTTGTCAGTAACCCATACGGGCCTTGATTCGGGCCTTGTTTCTCCTCTTGCTTCGGCTCGCATTTCTGTTCATTGGAAGTTGCGGAGCCTGAGGAAGACGGGGAATCGGAGCAAAAAGACGTTTCCTTGCTGTATTGCTTGCCACGGCGGTCAGCTCCATGTTCTGTGAGGGATGAACAAATCGAGAGCAATAAGTCTGCAAACGGAGTCGCAAAAGTGGTAAACTGGCCACTATATAATTGTTGACTTCGACGTCAGCTACACCCTTCAGCATCATCTCGATGAATTCCATCGAGGCGCGCCATTATCGGACTCGAATAGGGCGGCTTAATCACACTTCTAGGGTTTTTCGCCAGCAATATTTTGCATTCTCCCGATCGAACGAAGCGGGAAAGACTAGCTTCCGTATATATAATTGTGTCGTATGCTCGAACGGGTCAAGAATAAACGTTGCTCATTGCTCAGACTGCGAAAAGTGATTTCTCTCGCATCTGGCGTGGACAGATTGCTCAAGTTCCATGTTTCTTGATAGATGAGGGTCAAAGCCTCCAATTGCATCTCTGTCGCGCTGAGGTGTCGAAAGCCGTCGCAGGGTTCCTCATACTACAGTCCCATCTGGTCTTTAGACGATACGCCAGCAGGCTAGCAGGGTGAGACAAGGGCCAAACAGTTTCTTGCGGTAGCTGGAACCCACGATAGCTTCGTTTCGTGATAGTTGTCATCACTCTCATGTGGAGCACTGTCGAAGTAAACAAGGTGGGCCATCTCGACCATGGTACATGTTTTGATGAAGCTGTCCTGCTCAGCTTTGAAATTGTCGTTGAGTGGTGGTGAGAGCAGACTGAAATTCCGTGCAATGGGATCTGGTTCACCAATGACAACGTTGCCGTTATTTAGGGTAGGCAACCACACGTACAAGTAGCTTGACGTGTGGCAAACTTGACTCGCAAAGTCCTGATGGTGACGTGATTCTTTGAGAGCCGTGTAATCTTCTTCTGTGGATTGCAATATCTGGTTTACAAGGAAACCGGAGCGGAGGAAACCTTGGACAGCTCCTTACTCGGAGAATCACCATGTGATGCAGCATCGATAGTGCGCTGATATTGACGTTGTTGGTAGCTCCATGTCATGGACTCAACAGCCGGAAACTCCATCAAAGTATGGCCCAGAATTGTAAATTCCTTGTCGAGAACGATCATGTGATGAGTTTGTATCAGATGGTTTGTCTCCAGCCTTCTGACCACATGTAGCGCGCAACTACATCTTGTAAGACGCTTCCTCGGGGGTTTGCTATCTTAGCCTGGATCTTAGAAGACGAGGAAGAGGTGGATATGCTCGAGTGTTGGTATTTTTACCTGGTAAAAAGACTCTTCAATTGCCTTCTGTGTATATATAATGCCCTCCGGGACAACAGAAGGGCCTTTTCTGGGGCTTCTAGTAAGGGCAAAGATGTGACGGGAGGCAACATGTACAGGCAGAAGCTCTTGGCTGGTGGCTTTCGGTCCTGAGAGTGCGCTTCACTTCTGGCTCCAACCGGGGGGTTGACTTCCAGCAGTTGCGTCATGCCAGGATTCGTTCGTTCTTCCCTGAGCACGACGAAAGCACAAATGATATATAATAAGTCGCATTGTCTGAGAAACAAATTCATCCTCCGGCATTGGTCTTTCTATAGGAATGATGAGGTTGGCCCCGACTAGGTGCCTAAGATGGCACAGACGCATCATCGTGAAAGCAGTATATGGCGATTGCCATGGTGTCTGTCTGTTTAGATTGAGCGATTGTATATAAATATAGTCAGAGAAGTAGGTAGGTTGCTTGAGGCATAACAGCGCCTGGATTGTATCGCATGGAGTTCTCAAAAGAGCGGAGGAGTTTCGAACTCGAATTCTTCGAAGATCATAATGCTGACTTCGTGAACAATGGCGTAGTTGTATATCCCTTTGCTCAAGTCCATATATATATAGGCGGTAAAGATTATAGTCTGGGGCATGATGGGGGTTGGTGCCGAAAAGAGATGTATCCTACTCACACTGGGTTCGACTTTTGCTGCGTGCTTGACAACAGGGTTTTTCCTAGTGAGACAGACGGGAGGCGTTTCAATTCTGATGAATCCAGAGACACAGACGGAACATGGCCCTTGAGTCCTCCTGGGAACTTGTTCCTATGGTCGCCGAAAATGTAACCGATCATGGGCACTGCTTACCCCCCAAAGCGAAGATGCGACCTAAGTGGCGCTGTTCCATCCGGTGAGTCTGGATACATAGAAGCCGTTTATATAACAGGCGCCGGTGAATATCATTCGTAGACATAGGGCATCATTGCTCTTGCGAAGCATTTCGACAGATGAGTTCTGATGTTTTCTTCTGCTGCCTCCTGAGGAGTTCACATTCTCCCGTGATGGCTCAGAGGCAGAGTGTATTGACCAAGTGGCCTTGGTTTCAACAGCCCTGTCGCTCTTGCGTTTGTGGTGTGCAAAGACAGCCTGAACGTGGTATTGCTTGGGGCCATTGGCAGAGTTCCGCCGTCGACTGAAGAATTGGCGTAATCCAATGGGACTGACACCAGATGATGTCGCAATTACGTCTTGTTGGACAGCGCAATCTCGTACGCTCGAGATTTGCGAGACTTCCAAGACGTAACAGACGCTCGTTCGGCAGCTAGGCTGGGCTAGATGGCAGACCAGGATGGGGCGCAGGAAGAAGAGAACCGCCATCAGACTCTTCTTCAGTGCAGACCCCGTCCCTCACTTCGCAAGCGCCAGAGAAGGGCGGAAGATCAGGGCCACCGACAGGCGCCACTGAAGTGATCGGGGTCTTCTGCGCGTCAGAGCGCTTCATATCCTTGCGAAGACAGGGAAGACTGGCGACTGTATAATCGAGTTCATGATGAGAGGCGTACTAGGCGGGACTGCCAATGTCGTGGCGCTTAAGACACAGGAGATAAGACTGTTGGCAAACCTCTATCTCCTTCTTCCAGAAACTGGTAGCCATACCGACCGTCGAAAATTAAGGTGGTACTTGAGACAATAACTAGCTTCATAGCATCCATGACAGTTACACCAGAGAGTAATATTCTCATTCTCGGGCTTCTTGAAAGAGGATTCGATCCAAGTTCTTCAGCCCCAAGGACTCATTCAGGTAGTATATATGAGTCTTTGGAAGCTTGGGACTTGACATGTGTTGGTCGTGGGAACGAAGGGCCCCCTGTCACCAACCCAACCTCGATATATTCCCTCGTTTGGCTTTCATCGAGGGTTAGCTCCAAAGCTGTGGGAGCTTTGGGATACTGTTCGTTATGCAAGCCATGCGCCAGGGAGTTATATGACATATTGGTTGTCCTCATACGGCTAGTATTGAGCCTTTCTTCTTCTCCGGTACTCCACATCAAGACGTGCTGAAACGGGACTTGGCCTTCTGCCTTGATAAGCATTTGAAGAGAGTCGCTTTGCTGCGCGAGGTCCTGGCGGCCGTCTTCGGGAGCATCATCGGCTGCGGAAGCACTTGAGCCTTCCATGGTCTGAAGTTTGTCTGGGTACCCATCGGCCAATAGCGCATGAAAAGAATGAGTAGATATAATATATATCATGGGTAAGTGTATTCCTGCAAAGGAACTCATCGCGGAAAATATGCCAAGATGGAAGAGGCTTTGCGAAACGAGAAACAATGCCAGGTCTTGATCAACAATCTGCTCTCAGTAGCTGAAACTCAACTGGAATCACGGGAGGGTCAGTGATGCCATTCGAATTTCGTCAGGAATGTGAACCACTTGGTGTTGTTGAAGCAGTGTAGTGAGCATCCTGAGTCGATGAGTGTGTATATATAGAACATGATATAAAGGGCGTAACAGGTCGCCGAGTTCGTTGTGGGCGGTGCATTGACAAACGCCATTTAGTCGTGTAAGCAGCCCTTCCAGTTTCTCGCTTGCGGGTGTGACTTCGGGACTGAACTTCCGTTGCATTGCCATTCCCGGTAGTTGTCCCAGTCTCCTCAACCGAGACCGCTGCGTCTCTTCGCTGATGCAGGAGGTGTCGTTCGAAGAAGATGAAAGAAGCAGTGAGATAAACATTTGGGTCTACTGCGCCAAGGACAAGATCAGGAAGATGCAAAGACCGTTTCGTATATATCTTGCTGTCCAGGGGACCTGGTCCGATTCTGCTGTTGCTCGATGGACTGTATATAGGGTACGATACATATGGGCTTCCGCTAGGCAAACGAGGCGGTCGATTCCGGTGAAGTAGTCGGAGCTCCTTGCGCGAAACAAGCAGCTCGACCGACGTTGAGTCCAAGTCGTCATGGTCTTGCTGTAGCCTCTTTTGCTTCTTTGGGCCGAAGTTGGAGAACGACAATATATATAAACTAACAATTGTTATTTTGAATACACTCAGATCATGTGGAATGAACCTACCTTTTCGGGAGCTAGTTGTTTCCGCTTTGTGGTCGGCGATACTAGCACGAAGTATTCGAGCGGCGATCATGAGAGTCCCATCCGTAATTTGTTGATGTTGCTTGCTGAGATGTGTGAGACATGGGACACTCGGTGCACTGGTCTCTCTGTCCATCAGGTCGAAGTAGATGGATAGGATGACGAGATGATGGGCGCCACAGCATGAGCGGACTCGTTTCGCGGAGGTCAACTTGCTATACTGAAAGCAGGAGCAACCCAATGTGGCATTCTGTGCACCGCGTCTTTTCAGTTCGATGCATACATATATATAGGGATTTTAGCCGAGGTAGCCCGAGTTGTGCCAACCACTTTTCTTCTACCAAATGATTGAATAATGGTAAAAGAGACTGTAAAACATTCCGAAATCATGGTCTCATCGATGGTTCCTGGCAGGAACATCGACGTATCCTGTGCCTTAAGGCAGAGAAAGTTCATACTATCGGTCTGTCGCTTTGAGGTTCAGGGTATATACCACAAAGTTATCTGCTGGTAGATCGGGTGATAGAGTCCAGTATAAGCTGTGCTTGAAACTGTAGACTCGTGAGGTAAATTCGTTTGTATGGCGAGGCGGCGCAGGTGAGCCGAAAGGTTGTCGTGCACTCGCATAATCGCGGGAGGTGTGTAGTCGAGCATGGTGTTGACATATGTTCTAACGGTTTGCAGGCGATAACACAGGCCCGGTTGCGTTCACCCAGCGCGTCCGGCTCTTTGTATGGCTGACGCCCTCGATATGAGGGCGCTGGTAAGTGTATGGACGCCAGCACGAGGATTATAGCCATCGAGATATTGAACTCGTATCAAGAGTGGACCCTCATCCTCGTCTTGCGACGTATTGGTCACAGAGAAGAGCGACGCTATGAAGTAGCAGTGTTTCAGTCTGTGGAATTGCTCTCGCTTCCATGATAGCTTCGACACTTTGTTGATAGGGTACCAAGCTTAGAAAAATCACGGATTGCCCAAGCATCGAGTGGTGTTCTGTGTCAAATGTATGTCGTTGGCAAGATGGACTGGTCACAATGCTGAGCCACTTCCGCTGGGTTGTTTCTTCCTCCTCGGCGATTCCCAGGTTCTCTGGTTTATGGTATCCGCAACTCCAGTGCCGGCGAGTAGGGTTTGAAGATTATTGCAGACACCAGTACCGAGATTGCCAGTACATCATCGCGCAGGCAGAGTGGAAACTTGATGTAGCATGTATAGGCATAGATTGCGAGTGTTCAGATGCAATCAGAAAAGCACCAATGAACGCTTATCAAGATAAATGTCAGGGTAGTCGGTGAATTGGGTAGTTACTGTTCCTGAAGCCGTGATGCTTTGTTCGTCGTTCTGCAAATATCCGACGGACAGCAGAGACGTCAGCTCATCGTGACACCAACCAACCAAAGGTCCTGCCCATCTGAACTTCCAGGATCAATACAACACTTTCGACTGCGGGCTGTCGAGCCGTAAGAAGGTCATAATAATGCTGACCTTTCGTTTGTTGGTGATGTTTATAGTATATAGAAAATGGGTTCAACGCTTCGAATAGAGAACGCCTTTGACGATTCCTGTTTCCAGCATCAACGAGCCACTTGGGGCATGTGTAGCTTGAAACAAAACATCCGGGCCTGGGACCGTGGCCGTGACCACGTTGAAAGTTCTTGACTCGCTCACTGATATGGATCAATCCACGAAGGGAATAGAGCCCGTGCGAACCTTCCACCTGCTCAGGTCTGAATCCATTGAGTCAACAAGACCTCCTAATGGATAGATATCATATCTGGAAAGGCACCGCGGTGTGCGCGGCTTCTAGTTGTTTGAACAGACGAGTCACTGTATCGTTGACTCCATTGTCAAAGGCCGTTCTATCGGGCGGTTCTTCAGTGAAGATCTGGTTGACAGCAGAGAAGTACACGTTTTAAAGACGCGATACCAAAAATCCAGGAAGTGCGTGTTGACAAGGGAAGCTAAAAGGAGTGTGTTTCATACCGCATAAGGTTCCAGGACAGTCTGCGACATCTCTCCCGTCCTTGTGCCCTCTCGTCAGTCCGTTCTCTTCAGGCAGGACGGTCGAAGTGCAGCCTTGTCGCGGTTGGGTAGGAACAGTGCCAGGTACTGGCGCACGCTCATTAGGTAGATACTGCCGGCTTTCAGTAGTCAGGGGGTAAGGAGTTCCGTCCATCAGACGGCAGGGCGCAGTTGCTCAGTGAACCTCGTTACTGCCCGTTGTCGTCACCAACCAGGGCGCTGTTCAAGGAGGTATGACAAGCTAGAACGCTGGGACACTGCGCTCTTGCTCATACCTAAGATCAGCATATTAGTACAAGCAAGAAAGTAGGAGAGGCAATGCTTACCAGCGCAATAACAGCTCCTGGTAAATCAGTTGGTGATATTTCAGGAGGACAACCGTAGAAACGAAAGCATCAAGCTGGTCTACAAGCTTGAGTTAGCGAATTCGAACGATGAAATGCCAACAGAGGGAAGTAGTGCGTACCTTGGGACGACAGGGCCGACCAAACATGTATATAATATAATAGTTCAATTCGCGTCGTATCATCCGAATCGGAGTCTTGTCCCAGAAGCCGCAACGATAGTTATACTGGATCTGAGGAATGCTAGTAGATTCCGAAACCTGGACTCAAAGTGCTGGCTGTTCGTGGCGCAAGGAAACAAGCCACGACAGTGCTTCCTCTTCAGATGTTTTGCAAGTTTAACAACAAAACTCTGAGGGCCAGCTTCGGAGTGATCTGTCATATGTTAGATGCTCCAGTGATATGACAAACATACGAAGCACATACCTTCACAGGGACATGGCCAGTGTTGGGATGGTAATACAGCCAGCAAAGCCCACGGAAAGCTGATCATCAGCCGTCCGCTGTCGGTATCATCGCTCCTAATGGGATGTTATATATAATGTCTCAGAGCTTCAAATAATGACAGTACTGGGCATCAACACAAGTCGTGTTTTGTAACTGGTCCTGCTGGGTGGATGCGTGATAGGCATCTCTGTATTTTGTGCCAAGGAAGGCGGCCACATCGCTTGTCTCCCGTTTTGTTTCGACACGAGGACAGCGACTGTTCCAAACCGGTACTCGTTGACCAGTCTCGCTTTTTTCCCGTAAAAAGGCATTATAGAATGACATATATAGATCAGAATGCTGAGCGTCCATGTTCGGTGGCTAGCCGCAGGGACCACAGTTGTGGTGTCCTGAGTTGGTTCTTCGTATATAGGCTGGGAAGACGCACAGAGGGTTGACGCCCTTGACGAATCGACATCGACTGTACATTATATGCGAAAATGTTAGCGACAGGAAGTAACAAGTGCACAGCTCAACTTACAACAGGTCATGTTCTGCCAGAGGCTTCTTAGTGCAATATGCTTGCCACAATACAGGTAAAGCTGCTGGTCAGTTGTAAACATCGAGCTCTTGGGAGCAGCTGTGAGGTCGGTTATGACGGCGCCGGCATATAACATGGTCTTCCGAGACCTGAAAATGGTGAGGTCTGGATAAGGAGGGTCTTGTGACGATGTGTCCGTAGTGGAAGGTGTATAATGGAAGGTCAAGGATAGATGTGGAAAGTCCAAGGGTTATATGGTATTGCCCAGGTCTCATGGTCACAGACTCGCCCGGCCCCTCCACGAGAGCCCGGTACTTGGCACCAGGTGAGTTGTTAGAGGAGTGGAAGATGCTGGGGTGTTGAATACACCGATGAGAAGGCATACAAGTTTTGCGCTTCGGTGTTCACTATTGCGTATAGTATATGCAAAGATATTAGTGATATGAAGTGAGAACAGTGCAGGCCTTGACTTACAGCAGGGCAGCCCACTCAGTCAAAGACGAGAGACGCGAACAAATCGAGTCCAACCGTACCACAGATGGCGGGGAAACAGGCCATCCGAGCGACGTTTCTCATTGATGATGTCTCCATTGTCAGTCGTTGAACAGAGATGTTATGCACTAAGAGTGACAACAGTGCAAGACTTGACTTACAATGACAGGACCACCACTGAGTACTCGCTTGTTGGTGTGTGAAAGTGGCAATAGCAAGAAGGCGAGCAATCCTTGCACTTCGCTATTTGGTTGTATATAGTATATGTGAACCTGTTAGTGACGAATGGCAATAGTGCAGGACTGGACTTACAACAGGCCAATCTCCTGCATGAATGACAAGAGACGCGAGCGAATTTATCTCCGCAGGTGGTGGGGAAGCAAGCCATTTGTTCACGGCGCTTTTCATTGAAGCTGTCTAAATTGTCAGTCGTTGAACAAAGATGTAATGCAGCAAGAGTGACAACAGTGCAGGACTTGACTTACAACGGGCCACCGCCAGTATCTCGATGGACGGAGAGGGCATTCGGGAAGCGTCGAAGAGCTCTTTCGTCTCTTGATTTGGCCGTCCAGCGAAGATGTTATATAATAAGACTCGGGCACGGTGAGAGCACCAAGAGGAAGCAAGAGTATTTCGTTTCGACGTCAGACGTCTTCAAGCTATGTAGGAGGGGATAAGGCCCAGCGTATATCTTGAAGAGCCTCCAGAGTCGATAGTATATAAGAAAGAACAGGTGAAAGGGGATCAAAGTATTGTATATGAAAGGAGATGAGACAAGAAGAGGAGAGAAGAGAGAGCTCGGGGAGAGACAAGGGGGTATTTATACTCGAAACGGCTGTTTCTCGCTTCAACGGATAGCTACGTCTTATGAGTCACTACGGTGGCACTTTGTCGAATATTCCTTCATCTGGAAGAGGTTTGCCGTGGGTTTCTGGGAATCTTCTCCGTGTGCTTTGCTGTTAATTGCGGATGACCCTGTCAAGACACAGATCGCCAGAAACAGTCTGATTTCATGACAACTGCTCTCTTTTACCATAAAATTGAGATGGAAGCTGTCATAGGATTGTTACAGAAAGATTTCTTGCTTGTCGGCAATCGGAGTGTTGCATGGCCCGGCTTCGATCCCATTGGACTGAGCTGCACAGACTTGTCGGCTTGTTGCTTGCAGCACGACACAAACACCAGAATATAGAAGCAGAGAAAAATGAAAAGAATGTTGTAGGGGTTGGAGAGCGAGGATTGTGGGAGTGAAGAGTCTGCTTGACAAGATGCAGAAACAGGGTGTTGTCTGTAACGGATTCCCCGGGTGAAGAGACGCCTCTGCAGAAAAGACATGAATTGCACCCCTCGTTGCAATCAGTGACGGTGCTTTGCTGGTGAGGCAAGCGCGATACGCACTGCACATCCATGGTTTTGCCAAGGTGTGAGTAAAGAATAACATGCGGTATTCTTAGTCAAGAGTGTATACACTGCTGTCGGAGGCTCAAGTGACTGCTCCGCACCGAGTTTCATGGCAATCACAGAATAGTCACAGTGCCAGAATGACCGTTGAAGAAATAAATTCTCAAGTAAAAAAGGTGTTCTTGAATGAAAAGACTAGACTCCGTACTGCCATTCCCGTGTATCAATATGCCCAGTAGCCGTATACCTGTAGTCTATAGATGAAACTCCCAAATGCAAATGCTGTTGCCTCGTGTAATAATGCTTGTCCCCAAATCAAATCGCTCGTGTATGCTCCCATCATGAAACTCCCGCGTCTTCAACCGTTCTAATAGGAATATTCCCGTCTATACCAGGCATAAACGCCCGATATGATGCCGCGAGTGACCAGTTCCGTAGATCTCTCACCGCAGCCTACACTCATCAGCTATGCATCAAGGATTTTGAGATTTGGGAACTTACCTCGGCTTCTGGTGTGAAGCGCTTTCGCCCCGTTGCTTCATTGACACAGATAGCTTCCTCAATCGTCCCATCCCAATGAGCTTGCACGCTCGATGTACACGCCGCAAGCCACTGTAGTTCACCATGTTGCATCTCCGGGTGTTGAATGATATAATCCCTGAAATAAGGCCACGATATACAGTCCAACATATCGATATGAGGAACAAAGACTTGAAGTTCCGTCGGACGAATCCAATCAGGCATATCCTAGACCATAGTTAGTAAAGATTCCACACATCTCAAATGATTTCTCTCAAAATAGCTTCTGAGAAAATCAAGAACTCACAGCATAGGTCTCAGGAGTCGGGTTAATTTGCCATCTCATGACAACCCAAACAACCCACACAGCCGCCATACTCGTAAAAGCATAATCCTGCCTTCTCGCACTATAAATAAACTGCACAGCCCATTTACTTATCATCGAAGCATTCTCATACTCATCCTTATCAAAAAGCGCCGCAACAGACGGAAACGTGCCCGTCAAATCATCAGGATTCGCACCCTCAGTGACCAACTGTCTCGCCTTTTTCAACGTATCAGCCCAAGCCTTCGTCACAGAGTCCACGCCGTGTCCGTCGTTGGCTGTCATCATGGCCCAGTTGTGTTTGGCGTAGTAATTCTGTAACTGGCCTTGTTGAGCTACGGCTGGGTAGTGGTTCGATTTTATACCGCTTGAGAAAGGGAGGTTGCCGAAGTGATAGGAGAAGTAACTTTGGGTACGTGAGCCAAGATCGATGGAGGCGGCTTCGGCTTCGAAGATTGTGCCGTCGAGCCATTCTGATCTGTCGAAGAGTGTTTCTATGAATTTGCTCTTGGCTTGATGGTTTACTCCGACGAGTCTAGGATGGTTAGTAAATCAAATACGATGGAGTATTTCAAACTCGGATGATTCTAGTGAGATGAAGAGTTCACTAAAAGGATAATCTCATTGAGAGTGAAGTGAGATGAGACCATTTTCACTTGAAAATGCAAGAAATTCACAGCACATCACTCGCACAAACTTACCTTTGCGGTACAACAACAGCATTACTCTTGGACTCTATGTAGGAAACGATAGCCTCAACCGGCTCCCCTATCCTGACCCAAGACATAATCTCCGCAGCCTCAGCGTCCGTCCCCACACGCATAGCCGCAAGCATAGTCTCAAGTTGCACAAGTCTCGCCTCTTTCTCCATCAACTTGGACTTCTGCTCATTATACGCATGAGTAAGCCGATTCAGCCTCTCACCGGACAAAATCTTAGTATCGTACTCGCAGACATTACTGCTAAACTGACACCGAGCACAAGGCTGCTTGCCGTCGCATTTGGTCTTCGTCTTGCGACACGGCACGCAGGCGTGATTCGTCGAGGCCTTGCGCGATGAGCCCGCGCGGGACGGTCTGGGACGGCGAGGTTGAGGTTCTGGGGGTGAGGGAGTTGGGGTGAAGTGTTTGAGTGGTGCAGGGGCCAGACTGGGGAAGCGACTGGTGCTCTGCATCCTAATGGTAGGATTCTGTAATGATGACGTCGCTGAGGGTTAACATAGCATTGCATGCAACAGTCTGTCCGCGGGCTGAGACGAGGCGAGGCGATGCGAGGCAGATCACGTCACGTTGTTTCCATGCGATGATTGGTGCGAGCATTTGTGATATTGGGTTTGCGGGGGTCAAGGATAGATGTCACCTGACTACGCGTTTCGTGTTTGGTCTACGAGACATTCCAGTGTCGTTTTGCTAGAATGTGATGAAGATGAAGTAATTAGAAAACATATTCAAGTTGTAATTAGTTGTAACTACCGGAAATAAGATGAAGAAAGTAAATACCAGCACTTGGAGTATGTAGGTCCATCAGCTACTTCGTACGCCTTACCAAACAAGCCCTGGCCAGGTCATGTCATAATTGGCAAGTAAATTATTTCTGCAAACTAAAACTGAATAGATCAACGACACCCACATCTAACTCTCACCGTCGTTGATCTTATCTGCAGGGCCCAAGCTGAGGCAGATCAGCATTGTCAATGAGGAGCTGATTCGGAGCTATTCAACTCCGGCCTGAACATCGCCGCTTTCCGTGGCAATCAGTAAGCAAGACTTCCTCTCCTGAGACATCGTCTAGTCGTCAATTACGTCGTTGTGTAAGATTGCCAAGCAGCAAGCCTCAATGCGATGCAAAGTAATTGATACTGTAGCATCAAAGCAACAATTATCTGCTAGACAGATCTAGAATTACACGCCCCAAGAAAAGCCCAAGATCCCGGAACCGATTGTGAGATTCAATTCAGGGCAAATGACATCATCAAAACTGACAACCGTTAATCCCGGACGGGAGACTTTGGCCGCTGCCCTCGAAACCAACGACGTCACAAACCGGTTATTCAACTTCCGTAACTTTGTTACATTTTTCTCTGTCTTTCTTTTTTGTGTAGAAACATAATTGTGGGGATGTAAAAATTATCAAAACATGTTTTAGTCGTCGTGACGTCGTTGTGAGGCAAACACGCCCAGACTCAAATCCTACGATACAACCAATCATACTCATTAAAATCTTTGTCGCAGAGGAACTGACTGGACGCCTTGCAGCCTTGCAACCACTGCTCGCAGATCATCACAGCTAACAGTAGTTGACAGGCACAGGAACAATCCGTCGGACAACTCGGCTTACTTGTCGCCAACGGCTGCAAGTGCAAGCTTGCTTCCCCCGCTTCGACGGAACGGAACCGAAAACGAGGCCCCATTTCTGTTTCTTAAAAATTCTGTTGACCTTTCCCCAGAATTCTAATCCACTGTGCGATTAATTCTGGATCTATAACCATCAAATTTTGATCAAAGATTTTTCTGTGAGTCCGGTCCGGATGTCCACAAAGCCGGGCCGAAGCCGGAGCGGGAGATACAAGAGTCGGAGCTTGGCATTGCGGGGGGTTAGATAAGAGTCATTCACTATCTATTTCATCAGTAATGATCAGTTATAAGATATCTCGTTTGAGACTGAAGATATCTCATTCTTGATTCATGATAACTTCGCCCGTCCAGCGGTGAGAGAGTCAATACGCGTGGCTTACGAGAGCCCGACAAGGCTACCAACCACTCCCGCCAAGAAAAATGGGTGTGAAGCCGACTCATGGGGTAACTCTCACGACACACTGTGACCCATGACTGACTCAAATCGTTGCTCAGTGGCGGCCAACTCTAACGAGAGAAAGAAAAATTGAGTCAAGCTAGAAAAAGTTTGACGTTCGGCAACTCCCATGGTCAATGGTGCTAGTCGGGTCAGATTTAATGTCTCGGAATAAATAGACTTTTCAATAGTTAACGGTCGAGGCTTGAAATATTGGTTGAGCTGAGGACATGGATACGAAGAATTTAAGGCCTTCCAGCATACGCTATCTACACCGAAATAGACATAACTTACCCGTGGACCTTTGAGCGGCTCCGAACATGTACAGGGTTCCCGCGGAAGGGGAGCTGCCCTGTAACCCCTGTAAGCTGACCCCAGATTTCCAGGTTCAGAACCTCTATAACCTCGGCTTCAATCTGGATCCGAGAAAACACAACAATATTGAATCATGACGAAACTCTGTTACCATCTCTCTTATTGACTACCGAGTCGTTGTCATTGTCGATAATATAAAGCATCACCGCTTTTTCACCGTGGCGCGAAACTCTAGTCATTGATCAGTATCATATCATCCGCCGTCTCGTTTCAGCATGTGACGAGCCATTCCCAAACCATGAATCCCCCAACCCCCCATTACTGTATTTGTCCCTCCCCCCGCCTTTCGGTGATTGTAACTGTAACTCTACTGTAGAGACCACATGCGCGCTTGTCAAATCATGGGGTTTGATCAAGAACTAGTTCCACTGTCTCAGATTATCTCGACAAGAGATGCAGGTGATTTCCTCAGCCTCCATCCATCTCTGCCTTATCAATACCTCCATGTCTACAGATGTGTATCCTGATCGTCTATCCATCCATCTTATTGCAAATCAGGGTCTCGAGAAAGGCAATATTTACTCAGCCGCTCAGGCTGCCGTCAGCTGCAACATATCGCAGCCTCTTACTCTCGTAGGCAGTCATCCTCAGCGACAGTCAGCAGATATAATACACTGTACTTGCCATGTGGCCTTTTGTGCGTATCTATCACCCGCGCGGGGAGAGGATGGATGGATGGTATGGTTCGCATAACGATAGCTTCGCTCAATCTGGTAGCCTGCTGCAAATGGAGCTTATTCTCACTCCCTCCCCCCTGTCAGCAGTCGCGGAGCCTCCTCCCCCGCAATCAGTACGTGGTGAAGTCTGGCTTGGCCACGGAACAACCAGGGCAGTGAGGCCTGCATCTGCATGCTCATTTGTTCAATAGTCTCACCGCAGGCTGGCTGAATATTTCCATTTTGTGAACATCCCAAATATCTTTTCTGCATACACAGTGTTTGCATATTGCTCTGCTCTCATCAGCCTGCGATGCTACACGAACGGAGAGAATACAAGATAGTGTAAGCCCAGAACATTCCCACGAGGTAATCGTACCATCAGTTCATGGAAAGGCCCGAGCTCACGAAGCCTCACTTTTCTGTTTTATTTTCGGCCAGGGGAATGAATGATCTGACTTATCCTCCATTCTGGGGCTAATAATTATACATTCTATTGTCAAGACAGTGTCATCAAAACAACATCACCAGTTTCCTTATTGAGTAAACACCGCCAAGGCTGATCGCCCAACAATGCGGCCCTTTTTTGTCTTACATGTCAACTCGTATTGGCAAAGACACGACGACACTGTATTTCTCCGCCAGACAAGACACAAGACACGAATAAGACATGATTGATTACAATTAGACTACACAGATTAGAAAAATGCAAATTTTTAATTAATGGACAATGATCCTCCCTTGAAAAGTCCCTTATTAAAAAGTAAAGAAAAAAGAAAAAAAGACTCACATTAGTTGACGATCCATCCACTCATAACCAAAACCGTCCATCCATCTTGACTCCAACACCGCGGATTCAACCCCCCAACACACTTTTTCCAAGGTGTGTGCGCGCGATAAAAAAGACGATTGTCTTTGTTGATTGTTATTTGTTGTTGAGAAAGACAATATCCCTCAGTTTTACTTCGGCGGCTTTCGGAGAACAAAGGATTCGGCACTTCCGAATAGCTTCTTTTTTATTCTTCGTTCTATTGTGAATGATGGAATGATGGCTCTAGGGCATTCGTTATCCAGGCCCTCGCTCATCCCCGCAAAATACGTTGTCGGAATGAATATGGAACCTGGTCATGGTCCAGGCTTGTCCCAGGCCTCAAATAAAGGAGAGCAGCCTGGCCTGGGCTGAGTCTGAGTCTTGGCTAAACCCACCCCCAAAGCGAAATACCTTGTTCGGCACCGAATGGGTTTATTGCCACTGTGGATTAGTGATTGATGACCCCTAGATAGCCCTCTGTGATTTCTTCAGTGACGGCACAGTGCACTGTACGGATGCGCCTGTGCTTCTTGCCACCCCCCCTCTGCCACTGCTGCTC